GCCCCGCCGCGCCCGCGCCGCCGCCGCCGCCGCCGCCGCCGCTTCAGCCCTTTCCCGGGTCCGCACCGCTCTCCGTCGCCATGGGGCTCCTGGACGCGGGGCCGGACGGTGTCCTGAGCGCGGTATCCACGGCGCTCAACGACACGGTGGAGTTCTACCGCTGGACCTGGTCCATCGCAGGTGAGGATGCTGCGTCCGCGCCCGGCCTGCATCCCGCCCCGCCTCGCGGGCCTGCGCCTCGCCCGCCCGGTCCCCGCGGCCGCAGACCGGGGAGGCGGGGACGCGCGCCGGGAGGGGCCTCGGGGCCGCCGCACCCCGACCCGCGGACCACGCAGCCCCCTTTCCCCGGCTCGGCGGCGGCCGCGGTGCTAACCGGCGCGCTCAGGCGCTGCGGAGCGGAGGCCCCGGGAGCCGCCTCTGCAGCTGACCGGTGGCCTTGCCCAAACCCCGTCGCTGTGTCCTCCTCCCCCCTCGCTCGCCTGTCCCTGTTGTAACGCGGCCTGGACAGTAAAGTAGCATCGTCTGGCGGCTGAAGGGCGTTACTTCTGAGGCTGCCCGGGCCCCGGATCGGCTGGAGGTGGTTGTCACGGCTTTGCGCACTGCGGTGGCGCCGCGGGAGGCGTAGCACTCGGGAAGAAATTGAGGTCTTTCGGCGAAGGGTCTCCATAGCAGCACCTAGAGGTTGTTCGGGAAGCCTCCGCAGATACGGGTTCTTAAATCAGCAAACTTTTCCCTTCAGTTATTGCGCAGGACTGTCGTTTGTTATTTGTTTGGTTTATATAGATTTTCTAGATTTTTTTTTTTTTTGCATTTTGCCATTTCTTAGCTGGCTCAGCTGAGAATGTTTCAAAAGATTTTGAAATCAGGAACATTCATCGTAGAAGATTTTAGAAAAGGAACCTGTGTAAAATGTCTTAGTCCTTTTTTAGGATGGTGCTACATCTCAGCAGTGGAAGAAGTTAACGTTTAGGGTCGTGGATTCTGTTCTCATTCCTTCAAAATGAAAATACGGTTCTGTTGCTTTTGTGTTTGTTGGCGTTAGAGGAAGAGGGTGATTATTGCATACATAGGGCACAGGCTGTGGATAAAAGAATGCTTGCTGGGGTAATTTTTGTGTAAGGTAGAATGGTTTTTTTACTTTAATGGCTCATTACCTTCAGGAACGTGCCACTCTTTAGGAGATGCCAAATTTGGCACTGGCACGTACCATCTGAAGATGGGTAAAAGGCACTTTTTAGTGGAACATTTAACCCTTGAATCTGCTCACTGTGCTACTGCACCTGCCAAACTTGGGGAGGATGTATTCTTTCATCTCTGTGATTTTCTTCTTTGAGCGTTGCATCAGAGTCTCTCATTACACAATTCTGCAGAGCTGAGTATCAGACAAGCTCTTTGGCAGGTAATTGTAGTTACATACTTGGAGTTAAACATTGTACCCAGGTAGTCAGGGCCACACCTACGAGTACCCAAACTTGTCTTCCCTTCATCTCCTAGAGCTTTCTCACCTCCAGAGTCAAAGAAAAAAAAAAATCGAGATAGAATGCGCTTTTAGTTGCCTTGATACTTTTAGATTCTTTTATTTGGAGGCGTGGGATGGATGGGTGGGTCAGCACTGAGGTCGGAACCTGGGCCTTGCACAAGCCGTGCAAGTACTCTTATCATTGGGCTGTATCTCCAGTGCTGGAACACACTTTTCTGGGGAGATCGGTTCTTTTCTAGTGACTTGTGTCCGAAAGACCATGAATGGATCTGGGCAGTTTGGTGCCGCTGCTGCAAATGAAAGCATGCAAGTATGTTTTGAAGACCATATCAGATGGTGTTGTGGGCTGAGACAGGGAAGGGAGGGTAGCCCGAGGAGCATGACCTCTCCCCAGCAGGTCGCAGGGAAGGCGCTCCTCCATGCCCATGACAGTCCCTCAGGAAACCTGAGTCTGCTTCCTTGCCTGCTGAAATCTTAGGCAGAGGTACTGTGTTTCTTACCCATCGAGAAGCCTCGTGCCTTCGGTCTGCTCTGTCTTGCTGCAGGACTGGGCAGAGTACACCTGCAGCCCATGGGACACCGCTCCTGCATCTCCTTCCTTTCTGGGCTAGCATTTTCCTTCTGTCCAACTTGATCACACTCTTCTGCTTCCAGGGGCCTCTTGGCATCATTTCGAGAAAATCTGGATAATGGGGTGTCCAAGTGGAAAGATAGACTTATTAGATGGGGTTGAAAAAAAGTTGGTGGATCAGAAATTTGGAAAGAGAAAGAAAAACAGGTGGGAGGGAAAGATGGTCTTGAGAAATAGGCGTGAGTGTGATGAAAGGATGCAAATTACTCAGAGGGGTGGGGAAGACTTCCAATACTTGAGGGCCTGCAGAACCGGCCACCACGAGGTGCTTCTTCCTTGCCCTTTTACTCCTTCCCAAGTCTTTCCACTGACTTTTCTAGCAGGGTGCAGATACAACGCATCTGCTGTGGACCGTCATAGCAGAAACAGGCTGAGAGCTGCACGTATGTTTGATGGTTTAAGAGATTTCTGCTCAAGGGAACAAGTTTTCTGAAAAAACGACATTTGAGCTAGTGCATCTAGCGGCACTACTTAATCAGAGACATTCAAATGTATGGAAACTGGGCTTTTTTTTTTTTGGTGGAACTGGTGATTGAACTCAGACCCTTGTGCTTGCCAGAGAAGCACTTATTCTACTGAACCATCTTCCTGGCTCCGAAACTGGGCTTTTCAAAGCACATATATGGCAGATACAGAATGTGGTCTTAGGGTGTCAACGTGGAAAGTGTTACTTTACGCTAATCATCAACACTCAGACATTAGATTTCAAACTTCGGAAAGGCTGTATTTTGAGAAAAACAATAAAAGTAACTTCTCACTTCTCTGTATTACGTGTTTAGATGTGTGGGGTGAGGAGGTTCATGTTGGTTTATATTAGAAGAAGGCATACATTGAAGGCTGAAAGACTGTTGATTTGGTGACACTGGAGTAGGTACTCTGATGTCACTGTTATTTTCTTCTGTTCTGTCACTTTATAAGCACATTAACATCATTGGGGTGGGGATCTTTAGGCTCAGTTGCACATCCAGTTGAGGAAAGTTGTATGTAATTTTTAAAAACTGGTAACTCAAAATATTCCCTAGGCTGTAAATATAAATTTAACTATATTATCTGTTGTATTCATTGCTGTCCTTTTAGTAATATCTTTCTATATGCCCAACATTTAGGATGGAAACACCATAGCCTTGACAGGACACCCAGAAAAAGGCCCAGCATTCCCTGAACCACCATTTTTTTTTTTTTTTTTAATGACATGATTTTAAACAGTGTTTGTGAAGCCTGGGTGCGTATGTGTGTGAGTGTGTGTGTGTTGGGAGGTAGCTGGCCTTACCCCTCTGTTCATAGTACCCCGCATCTGGCTGAAAATCTGCATATGCACTAGTTGAAGTGAGAACGTGACAAGCGGCCTAGCTGTGCCTGCCCTCATGCACTGTGCAGGGAGCAGAGTGGAGGAATGAGGGGAACAAGAGAGAGGTCTCCCGTGGGGTGGTGGCAGGATTTGGAAGCTGGCTCACCCCGGTACCTTTCATTCGCTCCCCGTTGGTTTGCTGTGGGAAGGCACAGAGCGGGGCTGTGGGGGGAGAAGGGAGAGCCTGGCTCACGGTTTGTGAAGGCTGGCCCCTGCTGGTCCCCTCCTCAGTGCCCAGGTGTGGCCTGTGCCTCGGGCCCTGCTGGGGTGGGGCCAAGGGAGGCTCCCACGCCCTCCTCTGCTCTCCCTATCTCCACGGCACTGCAGCCCCAGTCTTAAGCCATGAAAGGCTCACGCCATTCCCTTCCTCCGCTGCTTTAGCTGTCTTCCCAGGGTCTTTGTCCCCACCCTTGTGTGACTGGAGGCGAACTCTGAGAGAATGTTGGGACAGATAGACTAGGTGTCAGGGATAGTGGGGACTCTCACTGAAACTGGGGAAACTGGGAATGTGAGTAGAGCGAGTGAGTCACTTGGGCAGAAGTGGAGCAGAGGGTTACACCAGCTCCATAGCTGGGAGTAGGAGCAGCTTTACCTGAGGGCTTGGGAGGCCCCTGGAGCGTGTGCTTGTAAGCCCTGCACATGGGCTGGCGAGATAGCTCAGCGAACTGAGCGCTGCTTTGGCAAGCACAGGGACCAGGTTTGATCCCTGGTCTGGCATGCCGTGCCGGTCCCACCCTGAGCCAGCAACTGAGTTCAGGCATGGTGGCACATGCCTGTAATCCCAGTGCTGAAAGCAGGAGTGTCACTACAAGTCTGAGCTGTGTAGTGAGTCCCTGTACCAAATAAATGGAAACAGAACAAAACAGAGCACTGCACCGTGTGCATATGTTGTATGACTTGTCATGTTCAACACATAGTTTTTCATTGCCTAAAATAGATGTTGTTTGCTTGGCTTATCATGAGAACCTGGTTACCATTTTAGCTTCTTTGAAAAAAAAATTTAAGTTTTGGGGCAACTGATTAAACACAAATTTGTTGCTTACCAGTGAGGCCTTGCCTTTTAGCACCCCACAACCTCTGGGAGGGCAGCAGGATCTGAGGTCCTTTGGCTCGGGCTGGGTTCTGTCCTTCCCCACAGCCCGATTGGAGGCAGCAGACCCCTGGAGCTCTACTACTGATGCTCCTGTCCACGCCACCAGCAGCACCGCACTGCAGGAGCATCCTCCCATTGTGGGGGAGTTCTAGGAGGGTGGACAGGGTGCGAATCCCCAGTGTGACGCAGTCAGAGTCTCAGGCTCAGGGGGACCGTTTTAAGAATTACCCAGATTTCAGACATTGCTTTTGTGATCTTATGAGCCAAAAAGCGCTTCATCCTTTTAAAATTGAATATTCTTCTCAAGTCATGTGATGTCATCTATGAATAATTTAACATCATTAACGTAAGTATTATTTTCCATCCCTTGAGCCACTTCCTTTGAATTAGGTTATACGTCGGCACACAGAGAAGCCTTGTGTAGCTGAGCCCGTCTTTTCATATTTCAGACCCTTTTTCTTCCTGTACAAATCCAGGAGGTGTTGTTGTTTTATTGTCCCTTAGAATAAGAATGTGCTGTGTTAGAGAATTTTTTAAAAAATCATATGGGCTTGGACTTTTAGAAAAGAAAGGGGAGAAACCTGCCTATCTAGCTGTGTTGCATAGCTCAGTGGCCTGTGGGTATGGT